ACCACAAACATCAAGCAGAAAGCAAAGTTTAGAAAGGAAAGGAAACCACCTGAAGAAGCCAGTAGCTTCTCAAGTGATTTGCTGCCAAAAGAGCTCTGTCTAGGGTTGTTTGTTTGTTTGTTTGTTTGTTTTCTTGAATGTGGGATGCTTGGCCTGTGTGTGTCTACAGGTTATGAATGGATCAATCCATGACCCGGTCATATTTCTCAGGTCCAAACATAAACCTAATCATGTGTTGGCCATGGTTGGGGTCTTGTATAGGAAGTAAGGAGGTAAAGGTCATCAAAAAGAGTCATGGATTTGCTGACTTTGGAGTTTAAAATTCGCCTAGGCAGTGGAAATCACCCCTCCAGACATCCTGCCACTCCTGGTGCTTCCCGCTGGGCCTCTTTTCCCTCTCTACCTTCGGGCTCTCTATCTCCTATTTCTCAATAGCTTTATTAACAATATATTAGCAATGATATATTATTGAGTAATATTAGTTCTTTTGAATGTTTATTACTTGTGAATGAAAATACATGAATGAAGAGTCCTTATGATTCTATGTTCTTATGCCTTTTAACCGTCAGCCATTCAATCCTACCAGTCTACAGATAGAAGTGTCAGGATGAGAAATTCAACATTCCTTACAAATTTAATATTCCTTTACTGAAATCATACTGTTTATTTTCATAAAATCATTGAATTTGGATTTTAAAACCCTTTAGAACAAATATTTTAAAACTAGTTGGTTGTGCCTAATGATAAATATTTCATTATGGGATAGTAGTAACTGATGATAATGTCGTTGATTATCATCAATGATAATCATCACTGATGATGATGTTGTTAGTAATGACTAATGTGGGGGTGCTGACGATAATGAGGCTTTTGTAGTAAGATGTCACAGTGCTAGAATTAGATATAAGCTTCCAAATCTATGAAATAACTCTCCCAACTAAAGGAAAAAAATTAACACACCTGAAAAACAAAATCATGATGCACAGGTGGAAATCATGATTCTAATTGCTCCAGTGGTAAAGACCTCAGCCTCTGGAGTGAATACTTCCCGAGAGAGGTTCTGCGTATACATATATATATATATATATATAATCCCAAGACTCTCAACGTTGGTGACTCATTCTTTAAGATTGTGTCAGTCCCTTTGATTAATTATAAATTTTTTTTAAACTTCCCAGTGCCATTGAGTGGATTCTGACTCTTAGCAATATTATAGAGGGTTTCTGAGACTGTAAGTCTTTTCAGGAGCAGACAGATACATCTTTTTCCCTCCTGGCAGCTTGAGTAAGTATAGAACTAAATATAAATATTTTCTGACATTTATTCCCTGATTGTTGAAACTAAAGAATTCCTTAAAAATTCTGGAAAACTGTGCTCCATTTTCCCTCAAGACAGGCAGATAACTGCAGATTTAAAATACTTGTAATTATTTCCCCTAAACTCTTGTTTCTATGCAGTCTCTTTACAAACATGCTTCCTTTTATCTTTCAATGCTTACCCCCTGCCCTTTTTTGGTGGAGGGTGTTCTGTGTTCTCATTAACAGCAACCTGAGCATCTGATGACCTGGTAAAACAAGATTTCGCTATGGAATAATGCTCATATTGGCACTACTGTGCACTGTGAAGGGTGTCCACTCTGTTCTGCTTTGTAAAGCATTTTGACTTTTGGTAAAGGTGTATTATAAATGAATTTCCTATGTTTCTTATTGTTTCATGAGACTAAAATTGGGAAAATAGGGAATATATATTGTTATCTACAAGAATATTGCTTTGTCCCCTGTAATAAAATTAGTTTTTATTAGTCAATACTGCTAGTTGTGAAGCTGTTTGTGTCACAGTAAAACTGTGTGCCATAGAATTTTGAATAGCTAACTTTTTAGAAGCTTATAGCTAAGCATTTCTCCCAAGGTGGCTCAGGATTGACATAAATCACCAACTTTTCAGATAGCAGCTAGGTATGCTGTTTATACTACCCAAGGACTTCTTCCTTGTTTGTAATAAGTGGAAATAATATTTTTAAATCTTACAGTTATTATGATGTCAAATATATCTCTGTCAATAATTTAACACACAAAAAAACATAATGAACTAGAGATATTCTTGTCTTCACAACAATCCTAAGGGTTTGAAGACGGTAGAAAAAGAATACCATTAAGGCCAGAAATCAGGTAAGGTAATATGTTTTAAAGTGATACACCAAAAGTTGCACATATAAGAAAATCTAGTAGTATATGTACCACCAACCTTAGTCTGTGGATAGTCAGAAGATGGAGCTTTTGTTGTTGAGTGCCATCAAGTCAGTTCCGATTCATAGGGACCATCCTCACACTTGCTCTAATGTGTGAGCCCATGATTGCAGCCATGGTGTCAAACCATCTTGTCAAGGGCCTTCTTTTTCAGCGCCCCTCCACTTTACCGAGCATGATGTCCTTCTCCAGGGACTGGTCTCTCCTGACAGCATGTCCAAAGTATGAGACAAAGTCTTGCCATCCTTGCCTCTCTTTAGAGAGGCATTCTGTAGACTTGTTGGCCCTTTGGGGAGCCCATGGCACTTTCAATAGTCTGCCAACACCATCATATAAGTGCATTGATTCTTCTTTAGTCTCCCTTGTTCAGTATCCAACTTTCACACCCATGTGAAGCTATTGAAAATACCATGGCAGGGGGAAGGGGAAAAGGAAAACGAGCTGATTCCGGGAACCCAAGAGGAAAGCAAATTTTGGGAGTAATGAGGGCAACAAATGTATAGATGTGCTTTACACAATTGATCTATGTATTGTGATGAATTGTATGAGCCCCAATAAATTGATTTTAAAAAAAAAGAAAATACCATGGCTTGAGTCAAGGGCACCTTAGTTCTCAAAGAAACCTGCTTGCTTTTCAACACTTTAAAGAGGTTTTGTGCAGTAGATTTACCCAGGGCAATACATTGTTTAATCTCCTGACTGCTGCTTCTATGACCATTGACTGTGGATCCAAATGAAATTCTTGACAACTTCAATCTTTTCTCCATTTATTATTATATGTTACATGTAAGCAATTTTAGGTTGGTTATATGTCCAATTTTATGCCAAAAACAAAACAAAATAAAACTCACTACCATCAAGTCAGTTCCTGCTCATAATGATCCTACACAGCACTGTAGAACTGCCTCCTATGGGTTTCTGAGACTATAACTCCTTATGGGAATAGAAAGCCTCATCTTTCTACCTCTAAACAGCTAGGGATTTTGTTCAAACTGCTGATCTTGTGGTTAGCAGCCTAATACATAATTACTCAGTTGTAATAAAAAATGCACCAGAAATTATCAATGTCTATCCTCTACTTATCTCCAAAATTTTAACAAATTTAACTGACTATATAAATAATGTGCTGCACTAAGATATCCACCACAAGATAACTTTAACTTTTAGAGCTTTGATTTTGTACAGTGTATGTATATTTTCATATAATAAAGGGTATATATATATGAAATATATGCATATGTATTTCATATCTCATGCACATACTAAGACATCAAGTCATAAGTCACACTCAACCATAACAATGCTTCATAGCTATAGGTATGCAGATTTATGACTACCAACCAGAAGCAAGGTAAGAAGATCATGATCAGGAAAATAGATTTACGTTTGAGTTTTAAGCTCATGACATTTAAAATCCAGCACTTTGATTTTCTATATAGAAAAATAGGAATTAAAATCCTGCTCTAAATATATTTCTCCCTCATACTCATGAATTTTAAGAGGAGCTTATGAGATTTACCTTGAAAGAAATGTGTAAATTAAAATGCATTTTACACAGGTTACTAATAATATAAAGAAGCAAATAAAATTGTAGAAATTTAAGCTTTTAGATTCCCAGAGACAGAAATATCTGTACATACCATAACCCAGCAATAATAGTTCTTGGTTTCTAGAGAATGTGTCTATCATTTGAGTGCTTTGCCACTAGGGAGATAGAAGTGACATGGTTATGACATTACAATTTTAATATAATAGTAATATAATAATTACTGCTTGCTCACTTACTATGGGCAATGCTATATGCCAATATATAAGCTGTCCCACAGACCAACTAAGTAAATATTTCTGTGGGTAGAACCCAAGCATTAACACATTTCAAATATTTCAAGTGATTGCAATATGTAGCCAATATTAATATATGGATTGTTATAAGGGCTGCAAGAGCCCCCAATAAAATTATCTCTTACTTAAAACATAAATTTTTAAAAAAGAACTTTTCTCTTTTTCACTGCCCCTCCACTTTACTAAGTGTGATGTCCTTGTCCAGGGGCTGATCTCCCCTGATAATATGTCCAAACATATAATATGATATGAATAATCCTGTGTTATCTTTATAAACATCCTGGAAATTGATTATTTTCAATTTCTTCATTTTCCAATGCAGCAATTGACTCCCCCCTCAAGGATACAGATCTAACTACCATATCGCAGTGACAATGTATGGACAGTATGTTATCACATTCAGTGAATATTTAGAGATGACATAGATGGCAGGAAATTTCATTTCTAAATCAAAGGATCTCCAACTGCAAAATAAACTATTTGTTTCCCTCTGTAGTTGTTCGCTCTGTGGTAGGTGCCATTAAGAAGGTTCTGATTCAGCAACCCCAGGTATAAAAGAATGAAACACTGATTGACACTCATTGTTATATTTGTTACATCTGAGCCTATTCTTGCAGCGACTGTGTCAATCCGTCCCATTGAAGGGCTTCCTTCTTCACTGACCCTCTACCTTACCACTGACCATAGACTTCTCCAGAGACTGATCCCCCCTGATTAGTATGTCCAAAGTCTATGAGACAAAATCTCATCATCCTCCCTTCTAAAGAATATTCTGGCTACTTACTCCAAGACAGATTTGTCCTCTCTTCTGACAGTCCATGATATATTCCATATTATTCATCATATTTGAATACAGCATTTCTTCTTCATTCGTCTTTATTTATCCATTATCCATCCTGATCTTCTGCATGCATCTGAGGTGACAGAAAACACCAAGAAATGGTCAGGCTCATCTTAGTGCTCAAAGTGACATTTTAACTTTTGAACTCTTCGAAGAGATCTTTTGCTGTAGATTTGACCAATGTTATATATCATTTGAGTTCCTTACTGATTCTTCCATGGGTGTTGGTACAAGTAAAATGAAATCCTTGAGAGCTTCAATCTTTTCCCATTTTTCATGTTTTTCTTGGACCAATTGTGAAATTTTTTTGTAATCCACACTGAAGGCTGTGGTATTTGATCTTCATCAATAAGTGCTTCAAGTCTTCTTGCTTTCTGCAAGTAAAGTTGTGTCACTGGCATGCATATCGCAGGTTGTTAAAGAGTCTACCTCAAACCCTGATGCCATGCTCTTCTTTATATAGTATAGCTTCTCAGATTATTTACACAGCATACAGATCAAATAATATGATGAAAGTATGCACAGCTGACACAAACATGCCTTTTCTAGTTTAAACAATGCCATATTATCTTGTTCTTCTTGAAAGACTTCCTGTTTGTCTATGTACAAGTTCCACATGAGCACAATAAGTATTCCAGAATTCCCATTCTTTGAAATATTATCCATAATTATCCTCCAGGCCAGTGTTTCCCAAAGTAGGGCAGACTGCCCTTTGTAGGTGGCACTGACATAACCCAGGGGGTATCAAAATCAGATACTTATACTTTATCCTGGATTATGAGCTATAGAACAAAAGTGTTTAATTCCCAGGGTGGCATTGAGTCTTTTTTTTTTCCTGTAAAAGGGGTGGTAGGCCAAAGAAGTTTGGGAATGAATTTGCTAGACTCCCTAGACTAAAGGTTATCAAATGTTAGCTTACATCAGCATTATCCAAAGAGTTTGTGAAGAAAAAAAACAAACCCAGATTGTTGTGCCAGAATTTCTGACTTAGTAGAATGAAGACCCAAGGGTTCTCATTTCTAATAAGCTCCAGATGATGCCAATGCTACTGGCCCAAGGGCAACTCTTTGAGAATACCTGGTTTAAAATATTTGAAAAACAACAATACAAGTTCAAGATCTTGGCCACTCCACTGATATTTATGATCTTTTAAATGTTCAGGTCCTGGTATTCCTTCCAGTAGAAAGCAGGAATAAGGAGAGGATCCATCAACAAAGAGAAAGGGTGTTTATAATTTTGATGGGATCAAATGGATCTGTTTTGTATCTCATCCCTTGTGAATTTAGTGTCAAGTCTAATAATCCACTGTTACTGAATACTAGTCCTTAAATAGTACCCCTATATATTCTTTTAAGAGTGTTAGAGTTTTAAGTTACACATTAGGTCTTTTATCCATTTTTGCATATATTCTTTTCTATAGTGTCATGTGTGGGTCTAATTTCATTCTTTTGCATGTGGAAATTAAGTTGTCCCTGAACCATTTTTTTTAATCAATTTATTGGGGCTCATACAATTCATCACAATACATAGATCAATTGTGTAAAGCACATCTATACATTTGTTGCCCTCATTATTCCCAAAATTCGCTTGCCTCTTGGGTTCCCGGAATCTGCTCATTTTCCTTTCCCCCCCCCCTCCCCTTCCCTTCCTCCTCCCCTTTCCCCCATGCACCCTTAATAATTTATAAATTATTATTATATCTTATATTACACTGTCCAGCATCTCCCTTCACCCACCCCGCTGCTGCCCATCCCCCAGAGAGAAGGTTATATGTTTTATAGTAACCATCCTTTCATAATTGTTGGATTTGACCATGCTCATCAAACATTAATTGACAGTAGCTATGTGCACTAATTTCTGGAATATTTATTCTATTCCATTGATCTACAGACCTATCATTACACAGGTGCCAGACTGTTTTTATTATTATTGTTACTGTAGCTTTATAATATGTTCTGAGATTGGAAACTGTGTTCCCCTAATCTATTCTTCCTTTTAAAGTTGTTTTAGCTATTTGAGACTCTGCAATTCTACATAAATTTGAAGATTTACTTTTCCATTTCTTTAAAGAAGGTTGTAAAAATGCACATGATTATTGTATTAAATTTATAGATGGTAGTAGGTAATATTGATATCTGGTCAGCACTAAGCCTCCTGGCCCATTACATGACATGAATGAACCTTGAAAACATTGGACTGAGTGAAATAAGCCAATCACAAAAAGTCAAAGTTTATTTTTGTCTGATCTCACTAATATGGTTTATCCAGAATAAGAAAATGTGCAGTAGTTTAGTAGTGATTAGCAGAGGTGGGAAACTGGTAGAAAAGGGGAAGCATTGTTTAGAACATATTTCTGTTTCTGATGGTTAAAAAACTGGCAACAGATACTGGTCTTGGTTGTACAACATGATTGAGCCTCACTCAGTTGTACACATGAAAATGGAGAATTAAGTAATGTTATGATACCTGCATTTTTACAACAATAAAAGAAAAAATCTAGGATCTCTAAGCTTGAGGCAGATATTCAAAACTAGCTTAACCACTAGAATTTCACCCTTAATCATGCTTCTCTTTCCTAACCTCACAGACTTCTAACTTCAGGAGAATGGCTGCAGAAAATCACTCTACAGTTACAGAATTCATTCTAGGAGGATTAACAAATCGGCCAGAGTTCCAGATCCCTCTGCTCTTTCTCTTCCTATGGATCTACACAGTCACGATGGTGGGGAACCTGGGTTTGATCACACTCATTTATCTGAATTCCCAGCTTCACACTCCCATGTACTTTTTTCTCAGAAATCTGTCATTTGTAGATATTTGCTATTCCTCTGTTATTACCCCTAAAATGCTGGTGAACTTTGTGTCAGAAAAGAACAGCATATCTTATGTGGGGTGCATGTTACAGCTCTACTTTTTCCTTGTTTTTGTCATTGCTGAATGTTACATGCTGACAGTAATGGCCTATGACCGCTATGTTGCCATCTGCAGTCCTTTACTTTATAACATCATCATGTCACATCAAATTTGCTTCCTGCTAGTGGCTGTGGTCTACCTCATGGGGTTCATTGGCTCAACAATAGAGACTGGCCTCATGTTAAATCTGTCATATTGTGAGATCCTCATCAGTCACTACTTCTGTGACATCCTCCCTTTAATGAAGCTCTCCTGCTCTAGCACCTATGATATTGAGATGACAGTTTTCTTTTTTGCTGGATTCAACATCATAGTCACCAGCTTCACAGTGCTTGTTTCCTATGCCTTCATCCTCTCCAGTATCCTCCACATCAACAGCAGAGAGGGAAGGTCCAAAGCCTTCAGCACTTGCAGTTCCCACCTTACAGCGGTTGGACTGTTTTATGGATCTACTGCATTCATGTACCTAAAACCTTCCACAGCCAGTTCTTTGGCCCAGGAGAATGTGGCCTCCATTTTCTATACCACAGTGATCCCCATGCTTAACCCCCTAATTTATAGCCTAAGGAACAAGGAGGTAAAGGCTGCCATGCAGAGAACACTGAGAAGAAAAGTGTCTTGATGGAAATTTATGAATCTTTCTAAACTTTAGAAGTAAATTGTAATAAATGCCAGATAAAAATCCAACCGCGAATAGGGAGTAAGCACTGCTCTACAAGGTTGCTCTACAAGGTGAAGTTCTTTTCTTTCTCTCTTCCTTCCTACCCCCTCTCATGTCTTACTATCTGCAACCAGTTATGTTCATGTGTTTTTTTTTTCCTTTAGGATCTTGTCTCCCCAACAGGAGACATTTGTCAAACATTTAATAATTTATAGTTTAACATAAAATTTAAAATTTTCCAGATTGTGTTTGAGAGTCATTCATTACTCTGTTATGTTTATAGAGAAAATATTACTCAACCCATTTGTAACTTTTTTCACTTGGGAGTACACAAAGAAGTGAAAGTTGAACTTAAAAGTCACCCCAGACTGTGGAGCCAGCTCCAATCCCAACTATGTGGACACTCCCCCACCCCACCCCTCAGAAGAATGCACTTCAGAGGACAGCACTGGGGCTCTAGCTTGGGGAAAGGAGCACATCTGATTAGCACACACAGGAGAAACAAAAGGGGATGGAGAAGGAGGGGAGGACATCCTGGCCTACCAAGTCCCAAGGACGATGCTCCTGCTCAGAGCAGAGAACGCACAGAGGACCATAGGGCCGGTCCCACCACAAGACACGAGGTCCCTCACTAAACCATAGCACTGCAAGGGACAATACTGGAGACACAGTGCAGGAAGTGTGCACAATCTGACCCCATCATGCTGGGGCGAAATACTAAGGGCATGCACCAGAGCAGCAAGGGAACAATGTGATGAAATCCATGGGGAATACCAAAAACAGACTTTGGAGACAGAGTATGGCACTCCATCAGACTCGACTGGAAAACACTTATCAAGGCCAACAAACAGATGTTCAACTATTTATAGGCTTTTCCATTTTTGTCAGTGGCTTTCTCTGTGTTGTTGTTTTTTTGTTTTTATTGTTTTGTTGGTCTTGACTTCCTTTGTGCTTGTTAATGTATCTGTATCTCTATCTAGATAAGGTAGGCGGGTGTATTAGTCTGGGTACTTTGGAGAAACAAATCCACAGCAACTCATGTATAAGAGAGAGTTTTATGTAAAGAAAATGTGCATCACGAAAACAGCCCAACGCAATTCTGCCCAAGCCCACAAGTCCAACATTAACCCATTTACCCAACACCAGTCCACAAAGTCCTCCACCTCACAAAACAGAGGCAATGATGCCGACTGCAGGAGGAAAGCTGAGTCAGTGAACGAACAAGCATCTCAGCACTAGCAGGGGTCTCCACACGGCTGCTCCAGCACCCAGGGCTGCATCGGGATAGGTCCATGTAGCTTCTCCTTGGGGGTGTCTTGTAGGAAGTCAATCTTGCAAGCTGTAGCAGGGAACTGCTAAGGCAGCTGCACCCGGTGCAACCATCACAAAACAAGAAAGGCGAGGCTCACCACCCATTTATCCTTCTGCCTTTCAATTAGCTCCACATGTGATTATCAGCCAGGTTGGCACAATTAACTCAGCGGGATAAATAATTCAGAGATGAAAAGCACAGGACCATTGGTTCTGGGGGGATATGAGAGAAGGAGAGGTGAGAGAAAGGAAGTGGGTAGGGAACCAACCCAGGGACAAGGGAACAACAAGTGGACTAAAAATCAATGGAGAGAAGGGCGTAGGATGCTTAGTGGGGTTTAATCAAGGGCTATGTTGAAGCAAGGAATTACTAAACCTGAACATGATGGTGGGACAAGAGGAAAGTAAAAGGACATAGAAGAAAGAACCAGGAGGCAAAGGACATTTATAGAGGTCTAAATACAAGCATGTACATATTTAAATACATATATAATTAGAGGGGTATAGAAGTATGTACTCATATCTATATGTTAAGAATTAAGGTTGAAGATGGACATTGGGCCTCGATTCAAGTACTCCCTCAACACAAGAACACTTTTTTTCTAACAATCTGGGATTCTGTGATGCTCACCTACCCAACGTGATCGCTGAAGAAAAAATGGGTGCACAAGTAAATGTGGTGAAGAAAGCTGATGGTGCCCGGCTATCGAAAGATATAGTGTCTGGGGTCTTAAAGGCTTGAAGATAAACAAGCGACCATCTAGCTCAGAAGCAACAAAACCTACATGGAAGAAGCACACCAGCCTGGGTGATCATGAGGTGTCGATGGGATCAGGTACCAGGCATCTAAGACCCAGAACAAAAATCATACCCAAGGTGAAGGTGATGGGGTATGGAATGGAGACCCAATGCCCATCTGTTGACAATTGGATGTCCCCCTGCAGAGGGGTCACAAGGAAGAAATGAGCCAGTCAAGGTGCAGTATAGCACCGATGAAACACACAACTTTCCTCTAGTTC